CGGGTGCATCGGCGGCATGATGTCGATTGCGCTCATGAACATGAAGCTCCATCTGAAGATCGTGGACGGCAACCGCTTCCGCATCCGCAAGATCTCCGGCGGCCCGCTCGCTATCCTCTCGTCAGACGGACGGGACGTGGATGTGGAGGTTGGCGAGCTGCGATATGGGGAGCGCAAAGAGATGCTCGTCGAGCTCGAGCTCGATAACACGGACGTGATGCAGAGCCCGCTCGCTTCGCCACAGCATTCGCATTCGCCACGCGCTCTGAGTGCGACGGACGCGTTCAACCAGCGGATGGGCTTGGACGCACTGTCCATCGGCGACTACGCGGATCTCGCGGAGGGCATGATGGACCGCATGATCGACGAGGTGCCGGTGTTCGAGGTCGACGGTTCGTTCTTCGACCCGAGCGCCGTGAAGCACGTCTCGCGCCTCGCACACCCAGTCCTCCTCACCGTCACCCTCTTGCCGAACACTGGCAGCCGGCCGCGCACGCCGGCATCGAACAGCTCGGACCCGGTCATCGTACGGCGGCGGATGGAGCTGCTCGCGTCGGACATGATCACACGCATGCTCGTGCTCGTGTCGCGGCGCAACGTGCCGCAGGCGCAAAAGCTGATGAGCGAGACGCGGAGGATCCTGCATACGGTTCTGCAGAATATCACGCAGACGCTCCCGCCGCCGAATAGAGACGGGACCACGACGACGCGGAACCGCAAGGAGATCCTCACGCTGTCCGCGGTCCGTGCGATCCAGGCGATCATGCAGGACATGCAGATCCTGTCTGAGGCGCTGGATGAACAAGCGGATACCTTCGCTCTAGATCAGCGCAACTTTGGGGCACAACAAGTACGTTGTTCTCTCTTCTTTCTTGAACATGGACTGACGTCCCGTCGACAGGCCAAAGTGCTCCGTGACCAGAAAAGCTGGAGCGGCAGAAGCGCAATCGAAAGACTGTTCTGGACGATCGACAGCTCCATCGAGCTCGTCTCTCGGAGCACTGATTGGGTCGCCCGCGACTGATCACCCCATGCTCTTTCTACCCCTGTATCTGCTATTTCGGCTGTGCCTCGCCTTTCTCCCGCGTCACCCACAAGTTTCCAGCATACCAGGCGATACGCACATACCGCCCTACATATCCCACCCATCTTCTCTCGATATCGCCCGCGCGTCCATTCCCTCGAGACGAACCCATCTATTCTCGTGCTCCCACCGTGGCTGTGTCTTCGCTTCGCTTTCTGCTATTTGACCAGTGTCCCGCGCCTCTCCTTTGTCGTCTCAGTTTTCTCTTCTCGGTACTATTATACCCCCGCTCGGGTCCTGGGGCTATCCAACTGGGCCGGGCTAATTCTTGATAGCGGCGACGCAGGGTGGAGGGTGTTGTCATCAGGTCGTCGCCCTCGTCAGTCGGTGTATTCCCGTGTAACGTTATTGGTAGACAGCTACACCATATGCACATATGCACATGTTTTCTCCGCACTGCCACGACTCGGAGGCGCGCGTTGCTGTGAAAGTACCGCGAGAAATCGTTGTGTCGTGCACCATGAACGATGAATTGTAACACGATGGTCGAGCACCACACACGATGATCATCAATGATCGAGCACCTTGCACAACGACGACACATCCACGCGATAGAACCCAGGCCTCTCCAATCGTCGTCGCCCTCGAGCTCACACAATTGGCAATAGAAGGGATACAAGGAAAACGAGTACTGATGACGCGTACGTATGTGGGCGAGCGCACAGGCCACACAGATTCGAGGCATGTCATGGCGAGCTTGAACAGCTGAGTCCTGAATGAGACCATAGCTTGTGAGCACAGTGGGGAGTTCGGTCGACGATCGTCCATCTTCTAGAGTGTACTAGCCAACCTAGCGTTCACTCTACGTGCATAGGTCGCTTGGGCACTGATGTTGTGGCTGAGAGCGACGTCGAAGTCTGCTCAGCCGGTTCCCACGGGTATAGTGCTTCACATAGTCGCGGTCTGGCGGCGGTGGTGGGACTGTCGTAACGGTGCAGACTGTATGGCGGCTCTACAACTGCATCGCAGCCTGGATAAGGAGAACCCTGCATGAGAAGTTCAAGAGGATCAGCCAGTGTTGCGAAGGGTGGGCCGTATTGCAGTGTCGGCGCCGACGGCCATTCGACGTTCTGAAGCTGCTCGCCTCCGTAGCAAGAGGCCTCCCCAAGGTGCAACTCGGCAACTTCAGGGCGGGGTTCGTCTGTGAAGAACGATCCATACGGGACGGGATCTGTGCAAATGGCGTACGACGCATGGTTGTGTGCCCGGCCATCGAGTAGTTCCCCGCCCCCGTGGAGAGTATGCGAGCTCTCCATTTCTGTCAGCGTGTTCATGCTCTCCGGACGGGGTTGAAGCGAGCAGAAGGCATGGCCCGGTGTCGTCTCGGCGCTCACGGTATGCGGTACGCGCAGTGGGTGGGTATTTGGAGAGTATTGGGGACTTGATGACGAACTGCTTGAGGCATATGGCGCTTCGTACGCCCGGAAGTCTGCGCTGCCTCCAAAGTAGTCGAATCGGACCAGATCGCGAGGAAAGTCGAGGAAGGGCTGTTGATCCAACGGGGTCCCGGTACAGCCCTCGAAGAGCCCTTGCGCATGCACCGCGCAGCCGCTGCGCCAGTATTGGGAGTTCGTGCTATCTTGCTCAAGCGCCTGGGCAAGTTCGTGGCACAGCTGTTCGTCGCGATGAGCTGCGTGTGTTGGTACAGACGCTGCCGCCCGATCCTGGTCCCTGCATGAACCTTCGAAAAGTCCTGCCTCGAACAGCGGTGCAGTGCTGCTCAGTTTGGGAGCGAGGCGTCCCTGGCGCGCAATACGGTTGAGTGGCCCCTCCTGGTTGCGATGACGAGTTCTCTCGCGTCTGTCGGGAGCGGAGGGAGCTCGCGCACGCTTTCTAGCGGTCGACGGCTGTAGAGATGACAGTGAAAGACGGACATGCTCGTCTGAGGATGCGGCGAGAGGGCTGGATGTGACTGGGCTGCTCGAAGTCGGCGGCTGAACGATGAGGTCAGGAGTGGGCCGCGCGGCGGGTGTCCACGACTGAGTCAAGCCATACTGTTCGAAGAAGGTGTGCTGCTCGCTCGTGGGAGGGTGCGCCATACCATAGAACTCCTGAAGGACCGGCGTCAACACGTCTTTCACTTGTCGGACTATCGGTTCTTGGCGCATCGGCTAGCGTTCGGAAAGAGTACAATGCCCAGTAGGTAAGCACTCCAACGCCTACAACGCTTGGTAGAGACGACTCACCGGGCGAGGTGTATTGTCAGCGATGGGCACCGAACTGGAATTGGAGGTCGACTCAAGATCGTTGGGCCAGTTGCCCATCGACGTCTGTGGAGATGATGATCTGGGCGCCGGAATTTGGGCCACATCGACTTGCTGGACGAGCCCGTTAGGTGCAGTGGACGGTAGTAGGGCGGTGGGCTGTGAGTCAGTCGAAGGAGTGGCAGTGTGACGTTCTCGATGTTGTTGTTGTCTTTGCTGCCGCGCCTGAGCTCTTACTTTCGACCGAGAGGGCAGTGGACATGGGCGAGCGGGAGGTGGAGAAGGAGGGGGAGGTGGTGGTGGTGCGCCTCGGTGCTGGTGAGCGGGGGACGATGCACCACGCATAGCAGGCGGGATGTTGAACCTCTCGCTGAAAAAACCTTGGAGTTTCTGATGTTCGTCCCACACAAAAATCAGCTATGGTGCCATTTCAACTGCAACGAAGGTGAACGAACTGACCGCCCGAGGTATCTCTCTGATGAGCCGAACGTGTAAGACTCGCGCTCCATGGGAGTGCCTCTCTTTGTACAGGCTTGTCAATGACATGGCTCAGAGAACGACGTCTATGACACTAGATACGGTGCAGAGGACGACAATCGGATACAGTGGCGAAGGACGGAAGTCCTCGTCCTTGTATTTTTCAACCTCCTGTCGGAGTTGCACCCAGAACGCCGCGAGCAAGCACTGCATCGCCGATATGCTTCATACATTCGCACACGTCCCTGCACGTGCGCTGTCAGACGACGAGGGCAGAGGACGGGGGACTGGATGGGTTTTCGCTCGTTTCCGCGCTGTGCGGCTAGACGCACCCTGTACCACACGAGTGGATCAGATCATAGCGACGGGCAACTCCGCAAGTGCTGTAATCAGTGCGATGAAGGCAGAACTCGATTTCTTTGGCAAGTGAAGAGTGCACCGTGTTTTTTCGAGTGATGAGGAATATGCCTCGAGGACGGAGGTAGCCTTCGTCCTATCGAAGCGTGACGAATATGCAATTCCTGCGCAAGAACCCGTCGGCCTTGAGGCAAAGCATAGCCAGCTATCAGTAGGCGGCATGTGCGCGTAGTCAGGAAAAACCGCGCTCCTAGATCCGCTCACAGGAAATCCATTGTCGAACCGGCGTGAGACGAATGCTTCCGTGTCTACGCGGATCCACGGACGTCGAAAGTACGGCACATGCCATGTTAGTACGCTCCAGGGGCAGTGTAGGGAACTCCTACCCATTATCAGAACGTGCGATGACTTGACGACTGCCTTGCACATTCTGCCAGGCAGCTCGAGGGCGGTACTGTGCGGTGGGGCGGTGTGGCTAGTCAGTGTGGATGAGGTCGATTTTTCGAGTCAGTGCGGGGTATCGCCGGAAAGTGAGCGGTCACGACATAGAGTCTTTGCCAAGGAGTCACATTGAGGCATTTTGGGCGAGGAAGCAGAAAGCATAGACCTGGGACCGTTTCCAACAGTTCGGAGACATCATGGCCGCCGATTGCGGAACCACAGCCGCCCAAATACAACATCAACTAGGGTTACCAAATCCGGAACGAAGACGTCCTTCAAAGCACGTGCTTCAGGGTTATCGGATTGGCCATTGGCCAATCCGCCCCACTCCAGTTCTGCTCTGATTTGCAGCTTGCCATCAACGACGGGGACCGCGATTGACGGGGAAAGTGGACCAAAAGTTGATCGATGGGCGAAGGTGAAAAAAAACTTTCTCGAGGTACTACCAGGAATCGAACCTGGGTTTTGGGAACCTTCAGTCAGAATCCCAAGTGATAACCGCTACACTATAGTACCGATGTCCTTCACACTGAAGAGCATGATCAGGTTCCCCGTTGCGTCTCGCTAGTTCTTGAGAATATAAACTACAACACCCTATCGACTGCTATACAAGATGAAGGATAGGTATACCAGCACTGTACTACTTCATTTGCTATGTTTCCTTCGCGGCTACCCTCGCTGCCGCGGAACCAAGGACGATGAGAGGTACGTATTCACTCACTCATCGACGCCCTCTTCCCAGCCCTTGGAGCGCTCGATGGCGCGCTTCCAACCTTGCCAGCGCTTTTCCCTCTCGGGTTCGGGCATGGAGGGAGTGAAGTTAACGCTGCCCTTCGTGTTGACCTCCGCCAGAGTCTCAGGCTGGCTGATGTTCCAGCCGTGCAGGCGAACGGCGGAGCCAGCGAGGAGCGCCGAGCCCAGTGCGGTCGACCTGCAGAGCAGCAGCAGTCAGTACCGTGCGTCGAGCGCGTAGAGGGAAAGGACGCACTCTCGCATCTCGGGGCGGATGACGGTGAAGCCGCCGATGTCGGCGAGGACCTTCATGACCTTGTCGCCGTTCGTCATGCCACCGTCGACCTTGAGGTGCTTGAGGTCAGCCTTCGAGTCGAGCTTCATGCTCTCGAGGATGGCACGGGTTTGGAAAGCGTTCGCCTCCAGCGTGGCGAGCGCGATGTGTGCGGGCGTGGTGTAGGACGACAGGCCTATGGGAGGGATGGGTCAAGCGATGTCACAAGGACACGGGCAAAGGAGGACATACCAATGAGCAGACCAGCCGCGCCGGGATCCCAGTAGGGAGCCAGGAGACCGGAGAAGGCGGTCACGAAGTACACGCCTCCGGTGTCAGGGACGGAATCCGCAAGAGAGTTCACCTCGCTTGCAGAAGACACCATCTTCATGGAATCACGAAGCCTGGAGTGCGAAGATTAGCGGGAATCCAGTGAGCATGGGCGGATATATCGAAGCTTACCACTTGATGGCGCTTCCAGCAACGGAGACTGAGAACGCTCAATCAGGCGCTGTGCAGACGGAGCAGCGGGGCACGATACTTACTACTACCCTCCAGCGCGTAGATCGGCTTGCCGTTGCCGTCCTGGTACGCCACCTACAAAGCAGGGTCATCAAAGAGGCAATACTTCGAAAGGCACTGACGCGTACCGTGGACAGAAGGCCATGCTTGCTCTGGACGATGTCCTCGCCCGTGCAGAACAGAAGGAACGCACCGGTGCCGTAGGTGCACTTCGCCTCGCCCTGCTTGAGGCACTTGTTGCCGACCAGCGCAGCCTGCTGGTCGCCCGCAATACCGCCGATCTTCACGCCCTTGAGGGGCCCGTACGCGAGCTCGCCGTACACCTCGGACGAAGAGACGATCTTCGGGAGGACTGAGTCCTTGATCCCGAAGAACTTAAGCAGCACGGGGTCCCACTTGAGGGTCTTCAGGTTCATGAGCAGCGTGCGGGACGCGTTTGTGACATCGGTGATGTGGAGGTTGCTCTGAGCGCCGCCGGTCAAGCGCTGTGTGAACAGTCAGTCACTGTCTCCGCGATGACGAAGAAGACAACGCACGTAAACGATCCATGACTCGACAGTGCCAAACAAGAGGTCATCCTCCTCATGAGCCTTGCGGACGTTCTCGTGGTGGTCGATCATCCATCGCAGCTTGATTGCAGAGAAGTACGTCGAGATCGGGAGGCCGGACCTGTGCGTTGCGCGCAAGCGGGCGATCTCAGCACGGATCTTCGCGAAAGAATGACATCATCACGCGACCAAGTACTCACAGCTCGCGCAGTGCCTGAACGCCCTCCTCGCCCTTCTTGAACTGGCCGGGCGCAACCTCGATGCCGACGCTCTGCAGCTTGTGCTCGAAGTGCGCGACGGTGTTCTTCGTGCGCGAGTCGTCCCAGACAATTAGGCGGCAGAGCGGCTTGCCGGTCTTGCGGCTCCAGGCGACGGCACTCTCACGCTGGTTCGTGATACCTGGAGGACGGAGCACGTACGTTAGACTGCTGTCGCGATATGCCGACGCATGGTCAGTTGACCGAGGGGAGGAACGCACCGATGACCTTGATGCTCTCCTTGGCCCACCCCGCTGCCTCGAGAGCCTTCGAGGCCTCAGTGATGCAAACATCGCAGCTCTCCATAAGCTCATCAGGGTCCTGCTCGTGCCAGCTACAGAGCATGCGGAAGTTGAGTTTCGGCGAAGACGAAGAGGAAGACCGGAAGACGAAGCATCGCTCGACGCACCTAGGCTCAGGATAGTACTGCGGGTACTCCAGCTGGTGCTGGGCGACGATGTTGGCATACTTGTCGAAGACCAGGAAGCGGGTCGAACTGAAGAGAGAAGACGAAGCGGTCAGACACACCCGCGAGACTTGAGGGGCTCCCGAGAGTCCACATACGTTGTCCCGCAGTCCAGAGAGCCGACGAACTCGCCCTGCTTGAGGTTGGTCATGGCGGTGGTGGTGATGATGGAGGGCGGGGGAGGAAGAATGAATACGGGATGGCATACTGGGCAGGGGCGCGTATTTGAATCTCGCAGCGATGTCGCGGCTTGGACTGAGCAGCATCGCAGAATCAGGGGGAGTGATAGGACGCCGACCGCCCGATCGCTCTCTCCGCCACCCCGGACACCGGCCCGCCCCGTCAGCTGACTGGGGTAAACCTGGGGTAGCCCCGCCTCCATCCACTCTCCATCCTAAACTCCTTCCCGCTCATCAACTCCGTCTCGACGATGTTCAAGCTCCTGCTCGGCCTCTGCAACGGGCGTGGGAGGTACTTTCATTAGATCCAAGTGGTATACTGTAGTCCGAAGCATGCCGTGTAAATGGTACAAGATGAACGCACTCCGTCATGTCCCGGGCGAGTATACTTTACGCGTCGGCCGGACGCTCTTTCCGTAGCGGAGCCCGCACATATGCCTTTCTATCGGGAAACCCGACGTCAGCTCCGAGCCTCCGGCCAGGTCCCATCACCGTGTATCATATGCCATTATGCATCCTCTATTACTCCTGATCGGGGCCGAGTAATCGATCCCTTCAGATCCAGGCTTCAGCACGCGTCTCGGCCGATACCACAGCACCGCGAACAGAACTCACCAACTCAAAGTCCCCGCACTCCCCCGCAAAAGCACTGCAAAGAAGGGTATAGTGGAGGCTCTAACTTGTGATGCCGAACTTGTGCTTCTCCCAGTCATTCCACGTGAAAATGGGCAGCGGGTGCGCCTCCGTGTTGAACACCCACTTGTCCAGGGGCACCAGGTCCTCGTTCCTGAACAGCAAGTACAGGTACTTCAGCCTGCGGGGCCGCACAGTAGAAACCAGGTCAGCGGACACCCCGGCGGGAGGAAGAACGATCGAGTACTCACGTCTCAGCGAGGAAGTAGCTGAAACGTAACGAAGCGCAGTCAGCGACGCCGCGGGACAGGGTGCAGAGCCCCTATGTGTGCGCTGCCGACGTACCTGGGCTGCTCGTCGCTCTGCGGCGCAGGCGACTGCGTGACCTTCTTTAGGCTGGCGTATCCCGACGCCGTCTTCGCCTCGCGCTCGATGGCCTGGAAGATGTCCCATCCGCGCTCCCGCCACACGGGGTTGCCCGTCGTCCGCCACATGATATAGATCGACTCGATCGTCTGGTATTCGCTGTGAGCGCTCAGGCCCCGGAGACGTGCAGAACGCCCGCGATCACCGTGATCGCCCTGCACGGCCGTGTAAAAACTCACCTCGGGCCGGAGGAAATAGTCCGCGCGCCTCACGACATAGTCCCAAGGTCCATCGGTGGCCTTGGTCTTCTCGGGAACGGCATACAAGATGGGCTTCTTGTCGCCTGTCCCAGGCATCGGGCCTCGCTGACCGTTCGCGTACCACTCCTCGACTGCGTCTATCCACAGCTTGCCTTTCCTGTCTACTTCGTCGCCCTTGCGGACCTCATGCACCATGTCCACGACCTCGGGGCCCAGCCCACTCGGTTGATCCGCGTACATGAGCCAGCAGCTCGTCGTGAGACCCTCCGCGGCAGCCATGTGCAGAGCGTTCAAGTCGTACTTGCGGAGGAGGTTATACTGCCGGCGCGCCTCGGGATTCAGCTTGCTCGGGTCGATGTCGGCGAGGGTTAGGTTGAGCGAGTGTGCGCCGAGCGCGAGGAGCCCAGGGAAGAAGCACGCGAGGTGTTCAAAGTGATGTGTGGCCGTGAATGACGCGCCGAACGTGTCCGTGACATAGAGCAGGCCGCGGTTGGGCGTGATGTATAGGAGGCGTGTCAACACTTCGTTCATGCTGAGCAAGTCTGTATGCTCCGGTCAGCTTGGAGATGCCACAGTATTGGACTGCTCACGAGGTGCGTACACATCTCTAGGTTCTCTACGTCCGTCTTTCCAGTAAGCAGATACTGTTTCAGCAGGTATTCGTGACCGCTGTCCGCCGCGGCGCCTACGGAGCGGGATTCTGTAGCAGGGCGGATGGAGTCAGGAAGCTGCCGATGGCTCATGTGAGCAGCCTTCTTACCACTCGTAGGCCTTCCGCCGCTCAGATGCCACTGAGTAGGGAACATGCCACCCTTGCGCTCTTCCATGGCGTCAGCAAGTGTGTTAATGAGAGTGCTGACCTGTCCCCGGCTGAGTATCACTCGACGGAGTGAAGACTGTCAACGAGATTGCTCACTCGGTCATAGTGTGTCTTGTTGCCGGTCGCGTGTGCAACATATGTCCACTCAAGCTGGCACGACGCGATCTCGGCCAACACGCCGCTGATCCCTGGTGTGACTGCAGAGCTAGAAGCAGGATAAGTCCATTGCCTGGATATATGCACATGGCAGCGCACGTACGTATTCGTGTTCACGCCAAACTTCGGCAGGCCCTTAGCGGTATTGAACACGGGCTCCAGGAGGGTCGCGAGGTTGCTCGCACGCTCAAGGAGCACCTGTTCGCCGGAAAGCGCGTACGCGGCAAGGAGGCCGCCGAGATAACGAATGACGGTCTCGAAGAAAGGAGCGATTTGCGACCGCGCCCACGCGTTTGATTTGTC